GGGGGGGGGGGGACTAAGCTCGCGACAGGTTCCAATGAACCTTGAACAAACTTCGGTCGCTGCGACCACGTACGGCTTGCCCAAGGGCTGCCACCTCTGACCGCTGCGGTCACATAGAGGCATGAGCCAACTTGGAATTCCAAAAATGAGACATTCATCCCACTTCTTGTGGCGTAAGCCATCTGCTGTCCGCTCCGGACACTTACATCTCCGGGCAGGGGAGATAACGACAAACCCCGTTCGACGGGTCCACGGGAGGCACTCTACGGGCTCATCCCGGGTTGGCGCGAGGCCAAACACACTTAGGATAGGGTGTGCTGAACTGAAAGCGGTGCCACACGCCGGCCTAGGTTACCATTTCCTAAGAGTACAGGTAAAACCTAATGGAGGCTGGGGGTCTTCAAACGGAAGTGAGGCCCAGAGCGCAAGCACCAAATCGACGAGTTCGGATCGACAAGATGACGGCGGTCCGTGCGCATCTGCAGAATTAAAAAGGAATAAATGGCCACCAGCTGCATCTTACAATGCGCCCAGGTGCACCAAGCAGGTACGTTTTCACAACAGCTTGGATGGGTCTTCATTGGCCCATGCCATCCAAGTGTCCATGGGCCCCCTGCTAAAAAGGAAAAACAATTCAACGGAATCCCTGTGATTACAAGGGGTACACACACACAGACAAAACTTTACTAATTTATCCTAGCGGGTTAACAACCGCGCTAGTAGTCGTGCATGTTTCATCAAAGCACGACAACGTTGTCCCATGTTGTCACACTTGGCATCAAATTAGGCACCTTTGCATTTTCTTTGTAAATCACAGCATTTTGCTATGTTGAACCAGAGCAATTCCTTTTTTGTACTTGTTCGCCCCAAACAGCCACAGGCACGTCGAACACGGGTCAGAAAAAACGGACCTGTGGCCTGGCCAGCCCTCTATTGCAAAGCTCACCTGAATAAGGGGCAGTCCGTGCCACTGGCTTTAAGGCATCCCAGCAAAGCCAAAAAGAACAAAGCCAACAAAAGCTTCACAAAGCCTGCAGCTATCCAAAGCGACTCACCTAGCTTGCCCACTGAACCGGCAGGCAACAAAGGTCGCAACCCACTACTGCCAACGCAATGAGTTTTTTATTTCCCTGCAGGATGCCTAGAGGAAGCCCGGAAGGAGCATAGCGACTCCTTGAAGTGCTTAGACCGACTTGTATTCCTCAGCAGCGCGCCTTCTACGTTTCAAAAGCATTGGGGCACCGGCCGTCCTTCTTTGCAACGGTTGGTAGATTTCCTACAATCTCTGGCCGAAGGGTTGTTGGTGGACCGAGGAAGACAGCGGAGATGCTTTGCGGCGGCAATTCTTTCTGGCGTGGCTTTGCGGCCTGAAGCCTGTTACCAGCCTGGCGCAAGCTTGAAAACTGGGGAGCAGCTGGAACGCGGGGCGGTGTAAGGAAGCCGCTCCTGTACCTCCGACTGTGGTTTTGAACCTCAAACCTGCGTTCTTCACTTGCCAGCCTTAGGATCGCGCCTTCTTGGGAGCTATGTCGTATTGCTGGAAGCATTTGCGTTGGGGCGACAGCTCAAGAGGGATATGTTCGCGAACAATTAGCCACAAGCGCGCCGTGATTTGGACATGCGATGTGAATTCTGCGGATCTTGGCGGTGGCATCATTGCTGCCCGCTCCTCTTTGTTTGCGTTGCAAAATATGGGCGTGCCCCACAGCGTTGCTGCCAACCCGCATCATGGAAGCAGCGGTTTCAGGCTGGATACCTTCAGTTCCATGCCTTCGTGGAATTTGTTGCTACGTGATTCTTCAGTGCTGGAGTGCTGGAGCGCACGAACCCTCCTGTTCTTCGCGATAACGCAAACGCCCGTGAAATTTCAAGTGAACCTGGCGGTGCGGTAAAAGCAGAGGCAGGTGCCTTTATAGATTGCAGCGGCGATCGCCTTTCCAGTGACAGTGGCGAAGATTCGGTGGGCCCTTTTGGTTGACCCAAACATTGCGTGGTGGCAGTCGAGCATGTCTTGCTCACGGGGCTTTGGCGTTGTGCAGCGTGCTCCTGCGAGATTTGCCCGGTTGCAATCTGTGGCTGGGAAAGCGGCGGGCGCCTACAGCAGCGCCTCAACCCAAACTTGTGCTTTACGAAAGTTTAAGTGAGGCGGCTGCCCTTTTGTTTCCGCTCTAGTTTATTTCACGCGGCGCATTCGTTTCGATTTCGTTGGATATGATATGCCTGGCGTCTTTCCTGTTCAACGCCTCGATGTTGCAAGTGCCACCCATCGTCGTGAGGAGTATGCTGTTTTGCCTGCTGCAATCTCCCATGCAGCAGCACAGCACGAGGTTCTAAACTTTGTCTGGGCCTAGAAAGCGATGAGTTGCTTCTCTTCTTCAGGTCATCTGCTATTGGAACCCATTCCCAGGAGCCTGAAAAGGGTTGCCCACGCTTTATTTGCATTTGGATACGTAAACGTAGCCAGGCCAAGTCCCAGCCTGTTTTGCAGCATCTGCCATAAGAAGGGCCACTATGCTAGCAGCTGCAGCCGCTTCGACCAGAGACTCTTGGCAGCTGTCCGTCAAAAGTCACCGACCGCGCAGATCAATGCCTTTCTCACGAACAATACATGGCTGACGAAAAGAACCTGCGAGACTGATCTGGCGGGCCAAAGATCAAATGAAACAGAGCTTCTGCGGATGAAATGGAAATGGTTTTACAGGTCATTGCGTTGGTTGGGCTAAGCAGTTTAACGAAAATGAAAGCGCATTTCCTGACGCGCGTAAAATGTTTGCGTGTACCAGGTGTGAGTGCGGAGGCCTCCTTCAAGCGCAACCAATGCAGTGCGTGGGCGACAACAATGTTCTCGACGCGCTGATTGCCAAGCGTACATGGATGGCGTGAGATTGTCCTTGCCCGCAGCCCTCGCTCTTGTGAAGCTGCAAAGACTTTGCCTCTGCCAAACGATGAGTCGGCTTGTGAGTTGGGGCTGCAAGGAAGTTCGAAAGGGAAAGGTTCATTTAGGTCAAGTCACGGCAACTTTGTGGAACCGCGAAGCGCGGTGCTGGGAAGAAACGCTTGAGTGGAGTTGTTGAGGCTGATGCGACTTGATTGATAAAGTGGACAGATGAGAATGGAGACAAGAAATGCCTTCAACTTGGGATTGCTGGAAGGGCCGCCATTGCACCCCACTGTTGAAGAGGTGTGCAAGGTGCGCTTGCTTTCGCCAACGTTGTTTGCGACCCCTACGAAGTTGCAATTTTTCTCCTTGGATGACATTCGCAGGCATGCGTGCGGGTTGATGTTTGATATGTTCCGTTGAAGGGATGGGGGGGGGGGTTAAGGGCGGGGGACTAATGACGTTGGTTTGGATGTGCTTCCAAGATGATGTCACACGAGCGTGCGCTTTGGAAGATGACATTTTTGGGGTGTGCTTCAATTATGACGTCGCATTTTTGTTTGGAACGTGATATGTGTGTCAGTTTAAGGATGTAGGTGTTGTGTGGTGTGTGTGCGTGCGCGCGTGCTGGTGTTGTTGCTTCGTTTGGTTTGTTCGCCACATCCACCTGACCCCCTGTTTCAGGTGAACGTAGGCACTTGATTGTTACAGTTCTGGTTGGTGTTGTGATGCGAGAGACCCCATGCAAAGGATTAGTGGAGACCGTTCTAGATTCTGATCGATGTTGGGTTGATTGGGTTGCTGCTGGCTGTTGCTGCCTCGAGGCCTGGGCTGTTGGTCATTGGTGCAGAAAAGGTTCCTGGGGCCAATCCTGTTGGTTTTGTCCTGGCGCTTGAGCCGCATGGGGCCTCACGTCGCAAGGCGATGCGCCGCTGAGACTTGATATGGAGCCGCCCACTGCGTGTATGTCAGACGTGATTTTATCAACAAAGAAAAGAAAACAAACAATGTTCCCAAAAGAGCGTCCCACCTGAAACCAGAAATTGAACACAGAACCTGCCAATGACATCGCAACTGCCTCAATTATTTGCCAGATAGCGTGAGCTATAGTGGGGTTCTTACTTCAAGTATAGGAAGAGCTGCGCGTGTGCGTTTTCGAGCTTGGGTGCTGGCGCGGGGAGAGGGACCGCGTGATTCATTTTCCGAATCCGCAATAGAGCGCGCTGTAAATAGACGCCAATGGAGAGACCGCGTGAGGGCCTAGTTTGCAGAAGACACATGCTCGGAAACGCAGGTTTTGAGCCGTTTCTTCAACAGCCTGATCCAAGTTGACAACCCAAAAAGGCCAAAACGCCAGCGCAGTTGTTAACCCGGCGATATGTTTTTACGTATACAGACAGTCACGACTGGCGCGCGTGGCTCGACCATCTACAGTACCTCATGTGCCCGTTTTGCCCTCTAGGCTCGTTGCGCCCAGCTATGCTACAAAGCTGCTTTTGCCAGCGCTTCTAAAGCGGCTGGAGCAGGACGAAGATCACTAATGTTGCCCTCGGGCACCCCCGCACAACAAGCCTTGCCCTCACAGTGAGACTTCTTAAAGCCGTGGTGCCCAATGGGACTGACTGTGCAGATGGGGCGCAACGGTTGATCCAATGTGAAGTGTCAAACAGTTTACCAAGTCACATTCATGCCGCTCACGCCTCAATATTTTTTTGTAATGGATGTATTTCCAAATAATTCATCAAGCAGACAGACATTAGCTTAAACTATATACATTACCATCAACCAAGGGTAAACGCATAGAAACAATTTTATTGCAGTTCAATATAGAGTACCGCAGGAACAATTGGAATCCAGCGACGACGTTTTCCAGGCAAAGTCACAGGAAAACTTGAGCGGGGAACTAGAGTCAAAATCATCCAACAAAAAGACTTGATGCAGGTGATTTGGCGCCAGATATCAGTCTTCTTGATGATGCCTGAAGGCAGGAACGCCAAGTCTCCTTGTATTGCCATTTGACCAGCTATAAGAACAGATTGCTAGTGATAGGTTTGCATCTAGTGGGATGATTGTCCAGCCTTATTGTGATGGTCTTGTCAACACACTTCATCAGATCAGAGGTCAGTGAGACAAGTACAGACAGACTCACATACATTCACACACCTGGATCGAGCACACTTTTCTGCTTTGGTTCGTGATCGCAAAATATGGGACAGCAGTCGTGCCTATTCTGATGAAGCACGACGTCCGTGTATACTTTCAAGATACTCCAAGTGCGTGCTGTGAGCTCTGAGTTCCGCAGATTTTGTGGTGATGGAACAGCTTGGCTGCAATGCTCAGATAATCGAGATCAGATGATGGCAAGTAGGCAGACTCAGATATTGAGCACCATGGAATAAATTCAACAACTGGTATCCTGTGGAGTCTTGCAAGACTCGTCTCGAAGGTACATGCAATCCTTGCTGGGATTGCATATCAGAATGATGGAATAAGTGGAGGTCTTCGTTGATGCCAGCTTCTTTTTTGTGTTTGTTTAAGTTTAAGGGGCAAGGGCATGGCGCAGAAAACAAGGGCCGACAAGAGCAAATTTGCATCGTGCTTGCGAGCCGGTCACGACTCCAAATCAAAGCATGGTAGGTAGGGACGTAGGTAGAAGTCAGATTGGTCTTAGCTCAGGTGCCCCTTTTGCTCAGCAAGATGACACCTGCACTTTGGAAGGGAACATTGCCTCCTTTCACCAGAGCCAAAGAGACCTGCGTTCAGAGGAAATGAAGATTGAACGGGCTACACGGACATGCACACGTCACACATACTTTCTTTCACCCATGACTTAGTGCCCAAGCTGCGAGCTAGGGCAGTGTCCTGTGTGCTTGCAAAAGCACGATGGAGACGGACCTTGGTGGAGGCCAGCACCTCTGTACCCTGCGCCTTTTGCTTAAAGGTGGTTGAAGCTGGGTGGGTGTGAACATGTTTCCAGGGCACATGTCCAGCACTTTAGGGCTTCGAGATGAAATCCTGTCATCAAGAAAAATCAAAAAGGAGATGAAAAGAGCTGCGAGTTTGGACAGCAACTCTCCAAGGAGAAAGATGGAGTTCCTCATCTTCCATGTGGACAGATATGATGATATGATCAATCATGCGTTTAGATGTACTGTACGTCTGTCATTTCCTCCCTGACGCGGATTTGAACAATTCAGATGCCGACCTTGCAACTTTGCCCCAGCGGTGCAGGTGCTCACCTTGCGGCTCTGAACTTTGCCGCTTTCGTTTTGAAGAGACCTGCAGTTTGACAGGCGTCTTGCAGGAGAGAAATCAATGCTGACATTCTCTCATTGCATATGGCACCTTGATACGGATTCAACTTCCTGATGGCAAGGACCCCCATGTCGTGTCTCTGCATTTGTCCTTGGCGTCCGTGGCAGCAGAGGCTCGAGTGCGAGGTGTTCGGACATGTTCGGACCTGTTCGGTGTTGATTTCACTGAAAAACGGTGTTCTTTAGCGAAATGACATTCCGCTGGGGATGATGCACCATTTGTTGGCACACGATGGCACACGATGAATGATCAAAGATATCTAGCAGTTTAGCATTCCCCAACCTCACCAAGACCAACTTGTAGCTGGATTGATCATGCAGTCCTATCACGGAAGGATAGATATTTTCAGGTCAGTGACCAAGAGATAGGCCGTCATACAGAATCATTCAATGATTTTGGTTTGTGGATAAGTTTCCCGTGCTCAATCTGGCTGGCTAAGCGGAAGGTCTGCATTCCACTTGGAGGGGGCTTGTCGTGTGCCTCCAGTCACTGAAATCTCAAAGAATATTGATCCTACTCGGTGTAGGACTGGTATTAGACTGAAAAGAAGAGGCGTAAGGGAAGTTGGCATTCTCGCTGGAGCTGCCGTGAGTCGCCCGTAGTACCCTCGGAGACGCCTGCAGCTGAAAGAGGCTTGCCTTTTGGAGCCCTTTCCACAATCAGGTCGAGGGCCCCAGCCGCCAAGGGAAAACAGTGAATGGTGGTGCATTGTAAATGCGAAATTCATCAAGTCATCGCCAAATCAACCTGAACAGGACCTGCTTTATAAAGACATGATAAGACACGTATAGACTGTATTTTCACAGCATTTCCACATAGTGACTTTAGCACGAAGACTGTGCGCTGTCCTTAGCAAACTCCACAGGAGATGGGCGCGATGGATGTGGCAAGCTGGGCACAGTGAGGCACCGTGAGACCAAGTGGAGTGGGTCGCTCCCCGCTCGCTCCACCCAGCGACCGTCGCTTCTTTTTCACCAATGAGCGAGCTTTTGAACCGTCAGCTGCGTGCTCAAGTGGAGAAGTTCCCACCTGCCTTGCAAACCTGATGCAAACTTGGAACTTATTGGACAATATGCTCAGACCATGCATTCCATTTCGCAAAGCAATTGGCAGTGAGGAAGAAACAAGCCTGGTTTGTTTGTGCGAAAATGGCAAATAGCTGGAGTGAGGTTCAAGGAGGAAGAAACACATCATATCATGTTCTTCAATTGAGCTTTCTTTGATTCCCTTGCTTCGACGCCGAATGCTGATGCTATGGGCCAAAGCCAAAGTCGCCAAACCCTTTGCCACTGCTGCACCAGCAATTCTGGGACCACAGGCACCTTCCAACGCAAGAAGTAGTTGGTGACCATGCCTGGTAGGTTGGAGGCCATCACTCTTAGGTTGGAGGCCATTGCTATTTGCTTTCGTTGCTTCAAGCACGGGAGGCGATGAGGTGTCGCTGTTGCCGCAGCGGAAACGCTGTCAGGACAGCACGCTGTCAGGAATCGCTGTTTCGTTTTGGGCGACCAGGGGAAGCTGCCTTCACAGGAGTCCTGGTCACGCAACCCAGAGATACCTGATTGGATGAAGGCTTTGTCACCCGCCTTTGACAGTGAGGCCGGGAAAGACATTCAAGACATTCAGATCTAGCAGCTTGTCAAGTCCCAATACCCAGCCACAACTCTGAAGTCATGGAGTCTGTAGAACCGGCATGTGTCCCTCCGGATGGTTCATGGTTCAGGCTCTCCTAATGCTGTCTGCATGGGAGCAGTATCGCGAGGAGACCCTGCGTGCAGAACACGCTTGAAGCTCTGTCAGCCTGTGAAGCTCCGACAGCCTTTGCAGCCCTGCCTTTCACAAAAGATAGTTGTGTTTCTCTTGCTTCGACCCTTTGAGAAGTTGCCCCAGAGGGCAAGTGCTTTTAGAGCACAAATCTGTCCAGGAGCTAACGAGAAGGACCAGACATTTTGTGGAGCTTGTCCTTTCCGGCTTGCAATGCCGGGTTATCAATGGACCAGGAGACACGCGTGCTTTTTGCTGCTACACAACATCATAACCTGTGGATGAAATGTTTCGCAGCATGGTTCTTTACATTTCGCTTTGAGTCTGGTCGATTGCAATCTCAACTTACCTCTCTTGGAACATTTGCCTTTTGGCTCTTTTTGGCAAGACCATCTCGGTCTGTGAACCAAGTCAGCAATAGCGATTTGATGCAAATTTGGCGGACAGCTGATTCTGTGCAGGCCTTTGTGCAGGAGCAACAGCCACGCTGGATCCGAATCTAACAACTTTGACCATCTCCGATTGCACCTGGGCTGGCTTTTGCATTGGGGTCCTGATGAGCTGACGGGCAAATGCAACACTCTAATGAACAGGTTTGGGGCAGACCTTTGAATGCCCATCAAAGTCATCGGTCAAGCAAGTTCCCCAAAGTGGACATCACGTATTTTTGATATTGTGATGTCACTTCAAGTTATGAAAAACCATGTATATAGAGGTACCGTGATGCAGCATCATCCTAAATCGCAGCAAGCAGTAAAATGGTAGGGGACACACTCACTTGCAAACTTCAATAGGGCAGACAAACCAGATTGAAATATCACCTACTATCGCAGCAGAATGGTAGTTTTCGGACTGTGCTTGTGGTGCTTGGGAAAAGACAGCGCCAGCTTTTGTCTGCTTGTCATGCACTGAGGTCCGGATTCAGGAGGGCGACAGAGATACTTCTGGTTGGCAGATATTCGGTGCCTTGGCCATGCAACATGAGCAGGAAGACCCGGGAAACCTGTTTGGATTGAAGCCAAGCATCGGTGCTTGGTTCGGAAAGGGCTTCGTGACTTGAATCTCACCGCCTCTTCTTGCACCTCAATACAATTACAGTATATAGATGATTTAGAAGTGGGTTTTGTTCGTGCATCATTTTCTGGCACTTTGTTCTGGCCAATGCGTCATTGCCTGCTTCAGTTTTTCCAAAAAATATAGAAACCAAATCATCAAGGCTGAGCCCTTCTACGTTCTAGCCCAGTCGCTTCCTAGCTTAGTAGCCACCACTACTGGAGCCTACTACGGCCTACTACGGCCTACCCCCCTGGCACTTGGCAACGAGGAATCTTTGGCTTTGCTCAGACAGCGAGCTGGCACGGAGAGCGCATCAAGCTTTGGCGCCCTTCGCAACTTGTGCAAAGCTGATTCTTTGGGCTTGTTATTCTCCAGATAGCTGCAGGCTATAGGGGTTCTAACTTCTCAATGGTGTGGCTTTGGATCGGCGTTTTGGTTTTGCGGGTGCCGCTGCCGTGCTGATGTTGGTGCAGGTGCAGGTGCTGGCTGTGGATCAGCGTTTTGGTTTTGCGGTTGCTGGTGCTGTGCTGGTGTTTGGCTTGGCGGCTTGGATAAGGCGGTGGCCGAGGAGGCCGAACTGGCCTGCCTGGTTCTCCTAGATGGTGCACGCTGGCCGCTTCCACTTTTACTTCGAAGTTCTGAGGCCACCAGAGTGAATCAGCTGCTGTTGGCAGAGTTAGTAGGGCTCTCTGAAGACACACTGGTTCAAAGAAGCACCCAAAACAGTCACTTTGGAACTGCTTTCGACTCCACGAGTCCATAAGTCAGTCTGATCAAGTTCACTGTCCGAATCTGGCGCATGTTTGGGTCGCAGGCGCGGGAAGACTTCCTTGATTGCATGTCAGTGCTGATTGCAGCACACAGACAGCGCTTGGAAAAGAAGCTTGGTCCGATAGGCGAAGAAATCAGCGCAGCGACTTTCTGCGTCGCTTCAATGGGGAGATACTAGGAACAAGAAGCTACAAGGAGCTCCTGGCATCGCTACTAGGAGCAGGGACGCTACGAACGGAGCAAGGTTTCTGCCGAAGCCAAGCTTCGGGTGTCGAGCCGAGGGACAAACCGCCGCCGCAGCATGCTTGGCTTCCAAAGCCGGATTTGACAGGCGGGGTCCAGGTGAAGGACCAGTTGACAGGACCAATATAGTGCTAGGACAAAGAGAGGACTTTTGGGCATGTGTGGGCCAATTGAAAGTGTGAGTCCAAAAAAAGGGCATCTCCCTAGCTTGAAAACGACATCCATGCAACAACAATGTTGCACACGTTTGGCTCAAGAAAAACGAGCGCAGTTCAGCTCACATGGGTTATGAGCCCAACAGATAGCAAGACCACCTCAGAAAACCTGAGTTGTTGGCCGCCATGGACATGCGCCGAAGACGTTCCATGTCGAAAGGACGAGAACAGACGGCGGACGAAAGGCTGGATGCTCTGATCGAGGAAGCGAGGGCTTCGGAGACGACCAAGGAGCCAGCCAGACGAGCCCAAAGCTTAGAGCCCAGTCGGATGTTGACGCCCTCGTTGAGGAAGACTTCATCGGCCTTGACGGCTGGAGCTTCAAGGGAACGACCTGCACTTGAAGAGGTTCGAACGATAGAAAACCGAGAACGTGAAGTCCCTAGAGAACCTCAAGGACCGCCGATGAGCTTCTTGCCGGTGGTTCCTCCTTTGCCTACAGGGCCACTACCTCCTCCTGTACCTGGACACCATGTTGGCGGACAAGTCGGAGGGCACGAAGGTGCTGGTGGGGCGCCGAGCTTGCTGCAACCTGCCCAGGAGCAAGCCTGGGGGATGTTGGCCGGCCTGGGAATGCCTCTTCCAGGGATGTGGGGAGAGAGAGGAAGCCAATCACAAATGCCGATCTTGCCGGGGCAACGTGAAGCTGGTGGGACTATGAGGGGAACATCTATGGAGGCGGAACCGGTGGCTAGCGGGAGACTGGCGGTGCAAGATCATCTCCCTGAACGAGGTGTTGGGGAGGAGCTGAAGGGTTCGGTGAAGAGTTCGCCGGTGAATCCATGGACCGCGGAAAAACTACGGGAACTACATGATCAAGCCCAAGGCAGTCGTGGAGTACCTGATCCTGTGGAACTACTTCGTGCAAAATGTCTACAAGAGGCGGAGGTCAGGTTTCAAGAAGAAGTACAAAAGTTGGGTCAGCCGAGCTCGAACTCGTCTTTCCAGTCCGCAGTGGAGGCGCCTGGAGGCAAAGTTCAAGGTGGTGGAGAGATGCAGGCCCCGAAACCGGTGACGGCGCCGATCGTGAACGTGGGACCCATGGCTCCGGGTGCAACACCTGTGGTCTACCCATGGCCTTGCCCTCCTGGGTTACCTGGACAACTTCCTTGGGGTAACGGAGTATGCGGCATTTTTCCAAATGGTGTTTCTGGTCCATCTACATCGCCAAATGCATGGGTGGCTCCAGAGGAATCACTGGGTGATCAAACCCGGTCAGTGGAATTGCCGGTGTTGGGCCTTGAAGCAACATCGCTGGCGTTTGGAGACTGGCTCACGACGCTGGAGCCGATTGTGTCGGAGATCAGCCCGGGAGCGAGTCAATGGTGGCAGTTGACCTTGAAGAGCGTGTCCAAGGCCTATGAGGAATGGCTGACGGCGGATCCGCTCCAACGACTTCGTCTGGGTCCTGTCTGCTTGGAGGAGGCGAACAAATGGCCTCGCACGGAGCGTAAAATGTTGAGCCTGCTGTTGCCTGAGAACGTCAAGAATGAGGTCGTTACGACTCGGAAGATGACGGTAGCTCAGGTGTTGTTCATCCTCTACGTGAAGTGTCAACCTGGAGGACAAAGTGAGCGGATGAACCTAATCCGAAATCTGACGGAGCTCAAGCTGACCAACAACATGCTGGAGGTCGCCCAGGGCATCCGCACATGGATGAGGTGGTGGAGCCGTTCGGAAGAACTGGGGGTGACGCTTCCAGACCCTGTGGTATTGGCAGGGGTGTTGGTGAAAGCTTCGGATCACTTGGCTAAGTCTGGAGCGCAAGTTGCATATCGATTGGCAACCAGTCGGCAACAGTTGTTGGTGGACACTCGTCCGACCCTTGAGAATGTTAAGATCTTCGCGGAGCACCT